AGTTTGAAAATAAACAACATATTTATTAAGATTTTGTATAAAAAAATTTTTTTTATTTACTAAAAGTCCCAAAGATATATATATATATATATATATATATATATATATATACAAACTATATATAATAAAATTTTTAAAAGTTCAATAAATAATAAATATAATATTTTAATGAGATCATTAAACAATAAATAATATTGTTTAATTTTTTAATTTTTATTATTTTAACCATTCATGATTACTAATTTCTTCCAAAGTAAAACGTTTATCAGGATCAGACATTAATATTTTTTTAATTAAATCTTTTGCCTCATTACTAATTGTACCTCTTCTACCACGTTCACCTTCCATGGAAGTTTTAGGAAAATCAAATTCTGCTTTGATAATTTTATGTAAAAATTGTTTTCTTGGCCCATCAAAATTAAATGGCAAATAACCAACCAATAAACTATATAATATAATGCCCAATGACCATATATCTGTTTTCTTACCATCATATGGTGATTTACCAGATATAAGTTCAGGCGCAGCATATTCTTCAGATCCACATCTTGTTGATAATAAAGGATTTGTTGGATCAACAAATTTAGCTAATCCGAAATCAGTTAACTTTATAATTGGATTGGATTTTAATAGATCTTTTTTGTTGGAATCTACATCCTTGTTGTTATTGTTATTGGTGTTATCATTAATATTATTACTACTATGACTGCTAGTATTGTTATTGTCATTATTATGGTTATTTTCATTAGGATAATCTAATAAAATATTTTCCAATTTTAGATCTCTATGAACAATGTTATTATCATGTAGATATTTCACAATGTCAACTAATTGTAAGAAAATTTGTTTTGAATCTTGTTCAGTTGTCTCTTCATAATAATCATTGACATAATCAAATAATTCTCCACCAGGAATATATTCTAATATTAAACAAAAGTGAGTTGAAATATCTACTACATCAAATAATCTTACAATGTTCGGATGATTAATGAACTACAAACGAGAAGTTATTATTAACTAATTAATTAATTAAAATAATTAATCTTTTGATTTTAAAATATATTAAATAAATCTAACCTTTAACATTTCAACTTCTCTTAAAACACTAGATTTTACTCTTTCACTATCTTGAATACCTTTAATCCCAATGATCTTTATAGCAACAGTAAGCTATTAATTTATAAAATCATAAATTAATATACATTTCATTAAAATATAAATATTATGCTTGATAATAACAAACCTGATCCCAATCAACCTCGTCATATCCGATTTGTTGATCATTATTTTTGTTATATATGTCAACCAGAAAATAAATAATATCTTGAATATCTCGATCTGTTGCATTTGGTCCTAAACGAAGAAAAGATCTATACAATTCTACATGAAGATCAATTTTCTTTTTTGTTGATTGTTTACCAAAAGTTTGACTACATATTTCATTTTTTAGTGCTAATTTATCCATCTTTTCTTTGAAATTAGCAAGTCGTTTAGGATCATTGTCTGTATCTGCCATTAATATGCCCTAATAACATATATATATTCAAATCCAAGATATTCTTTCATTTTAATTAAAAAAAACAAAATAAATATATATAAAATACCTTAAAGCCGCCTAACCAACAATCCTCGATATTTTCAAGTAAGGTTTTCATTCTATCATCCAATGCCTTTCTTTCATTCCACCACTGCGACTTTTCTTGTTTATTCATACATTTTTTATCAAATTTCATGCTCTGATCACATAAATCCATGATTTG